TGGCTTTTAGTAAGTTACTTACTAGGATTAACAATGGAGATCCAAAGAAACAAGGGAATTGTTTTAAATGATTGTGCATTTGGAATTACTTTTTTTTTTGACCCTACGAACTGTCAATGTATGTCATATCAAAAACTGCCAATTCTAATTATATTCTTGACAATATGGCCTTTTCTGGCAGCTTTCTACCATAAGTGTCAATGTCAATCATCACAATTTCCTACATTTAGGGCATGAAAAGCCTCAGGAAGTTTGGTAACATGATTATTCCATTCCTCGACAACCAGTCATGTCTTCTAATACCGTCTTTGAAAAAGATGGCACACCGTCATTATGCCCTGTGTGCCTGGCAGTTTGTAGATGCCACTTTCTAAGACCATTGGATTGGTAGAGGATGACTTCTTTAGCAGCCTTCATCACCTAATTTAGCAACATTAGTCTTTTTTTTGTGAGGTCATGTTGAAAGTGTTGCATAAGCAAAAAACCTATTCCTATAATGACCTTAGGGCTAGGATTATAAATACAATCCATCGTATCCAATAGGGATGCATCAATACCTTTTTCTTTGGATCAGTGAGTACAAGTACTGATACTTTCAGTCCAGTACTTGCTGAGTACCGATGCTTTGTGGTACCATTTGTGTCAATACAAAATGTATGTACGCAAATTGCATTGCAAAGAATAGCATGCAATTTTAACAGGAATGTGATTCCTGTCCAAATTGAATGTGATTTCCTCTCTGCTCCTGTGTGAACCCAGACTTGTCATACAGGAGCGATGCGTGAAACCTCCTTGCACCAAACCCATGCTGTCACAGAAGGAAAAGCTGTGGATTTGAAATCCCCATGACTTTCTTTCCTCTCAGTACAGAGATGACAGTATGGACTAGACAGCTTTTGATTGGTCATCACTGTGACTGTGCTGACCAATCAAAATCCATCTAGCCTGTACTGTCATCAATACAAGGAAAAGGAGAGAAAACCACTTCACAGGTCTGGGTATTTGAAATCCCCGCAGCTTTCTCTCCTCTTTTTGCAGGGATGACAGTATGGGCTAGACAGCTTCTGATTGGTCAGCACCATGAATTTGCTAACCAATCAAAAGCCGTCTTGCCTGTACTGTCATCCCTGCACTGAGAGGAGAGAAAGTTACAGGGAATTCAAATCCCCAGCTTTTCCTTTTGTGACAGCATGGGTTTGGTGCAAGGAGGTTTCTCGCACAGCTCCTATGTGAACTCCTGTGGCTATGACAAGCCTGGGTTCACACAGGAGCAGTGGGGAAACAGCATGCAATTTGGACAGGAGTCGCATTCCTGTTCAAATCACATGCTATTCTTTGCGGTGCAATTTGAATCCATACATTTTGTGTTGCAACGCAAGGTATCGGTTTCAGGTATCGGGACCATTTTCATGAGTACAAGTACTCAAGACAATAGTCGGTATTGGAGCTACCCTAGTATCCATTTCACTAAGCAGCAGCTGATGTTTTCAAAAAGTTCAATAACTGACCAGCACAATGTACTGACTGAAGGTTATGTAAAAGTTTAAGGACCAGTTCACACCACACTCAGTCCAGTGTGTTTTTTTTCTGCATCAAAAATGTATTGATAGTAGGCCACATGCTTTCCAATGGCATAGTTCACACCAGTGCAGTCAGTTCCAGTACGTTCCAGTTCCAGAAAAAAAGCAGAACATACTGCATTTTTATTACACTGAACTGTACTGGAACACAGTAAAACGCTTCAAAAACGCACTGGAATGCACCAAAATGCACCAGAAAGCACTGGAATGCACATGTCCTTATTTAAGTTGCAGAAAAAGAGAGGGGGAAAAATGAATCAGAAAACATCAAACGCATTGGAACGCATAAAAAACACATAAAAAAAAATGCACATACAGAAGCGCATCCAGACTGCGTTTCTATGGCAGGAACCAGCCCTAAAAATAAAAGTCTACACTATTTAAAACCTTAATAATCAAGCTTTCAAGTAGTTTTCATTGTATTTTTTAAAATATATACTAAAGGTAATTATAGTTAGAGTTTAAAGACTCTAAAAACCTTCATAAAGTGCCAGTTGAAGAATTCCTGAGGTTTAGCCAGGCAGCCCACCTCCCGCACCTCACATTGGTCTATAAGGCTGCCAGTCACAGCTGTTAGTCCTGGTTAAAGTTTCAGCATGAAAACAATCAGTGAATTGCAGGCACAAGTACTTGTGTTAGGATGACCTGTTAAGTGAAGGCACCCTTTACTGTAATCAAATACCATGCACTCAACCATTGATCTGAACATTGCCACTGGTACCTTCATATAGAATTGTAACACCCTGCCATAATACTGTTTGCAGGATGTTAAATGTACACAAGATGGCGGTGTCCTGCAGCCCAGTTGTACAGACTCTGCTGAAAAGCTTTGCGGGATTTGTAGGCTGAATGCAGGACTTCACTATCTAACATGGAGTTAACAAACTACATTTCCCAAAGGAGCTGGCAGATGGGCGGGAGCAGATAAAAAGAGTACAGAAGTCCAGGAACTGAAGGACAGAAAGTGTACATAGATAGCTAGAGAGCAGGTGTAAGGAGAATACTGGAGGTCCAAGCTGGGCCAGACCACAAAGAGTGGAGGAGAGAGGAGGAATTGCTGACCGCTTTGACTGCTGACACCACTCACAAGTCTGGAGGACAGCCCTGAGAGCAGGCGAGCTAGAGTGCTGCTGTCCAAAGTGATTTCTGAAGGAGGAACCACAAGGAAACGGGGGCCCCTGTCTACAGAGAGACCATCCACCACCTGACAAAGGCCACAGATCGGATGAGATAATTCCATACTCAAGCCATCTAAGTTGCACATGACGTCCAAATCCAGTTGCTTTCTACTCAGCTTGACTACTTTTGTTTTAAAGTTACACGAGTTAAGGCCCAAGTTGTTCGGCCTACTAGTTATTACAGTTCCAAGCACAAGGGTCTACTGCACTATCTGGACTCCGCAGTCCCAGCTGTATTATTGCCCCCCATTACAGTCTGCTCATTCACCAAAGTGCTCCTCCACTGCTGCAATTTGCTACTGGGGCTCAAGGAAGAATCGATTTCTATAGAAGTGTGTTTGGCCTATTTTTAATATATGCCAAATTTTGCACCACACTCTGTTTTTCGAATTCAATATCACTTAAAGGGGTAGCTTCCTTCTTTGTAGGCCCCATCGACAGAAGACCAGACAATGCAACTAAAGGGAGATTGGCCTATTTACCGTATTTTTCGCTCCATAAGACGCACTTTTTTCCCCCCAAAAAAGGGGGGAAAATGTCAGTGCGTCTTATGGTGAATGTAAAGCGGCTGGTCCGGTATTTCTGCCGCCACCATGTCAGAATATCGGGCCGGCCGCTCAGCTCTTCTCTCCTGCATAACCTTACCAGTTCCTCGCTCCAGCGCTGCAGTCTTCCCGCGCCGGCTTCTGTGACAGCCGGGTGCCCACTGCGCATGCGCGAGAAGCGCCACACTTTGTGAATGGTCCAGTGTCTTCTGGGACACGACAGGTCCCAGAAGGCACCAGGCCATTCACAAAGCGCAGCGCTTCTCGCACATGTGCAGTGGGCACCCCGCTGTCACAGAAGCCGCCGCGGGAAGAAGGAAGGACAACTCCGCAGAAGTGGGAGCGGGTACCTATCAAATTCAGGTACCCGTTCCTCCTCCCTCCCCAAAGGTCCGCAGTCTCTGGTAATCTCTTTTACTGTCTGCAGTCTCTGGTCATCCCCTGCACTGTCTGCAGTCTCTGGTCTTCTGGACTATGTCCACAGTCTCTGGTCATTCCCCGTACTGTGTGTCCACAGTCTCTGGTCATTCCCTGTACTGTGTCCGCAGTCTCTGGTAATCTCCTGTACTGTGTCCGCAGTCTCTGGTCATCTCCTGTACTGTGTCCGCAGTCTCTGGTCATCTCCTGTACTATGTCTGCAGTCTCTGGTCATCTCCTTTACTATGTCTGCAGTTTCTGGTCATCTCCTGTACTGTGTCCGCAGTCTCTGGTAATCTCCTGTACTGTGTCCGCAGTCTCTGGTCATCTCCTGTACTGTGTCCGCAGTCTCTGGTCATCTCCTGTACTGTGTCCGCAGTCTCTGGTCATCTCCTGTACTGTGTCCGCAGTCTCTGGTCATCTCCTGTACTGTGTCCGCAGTCTCTGGTCATCTCCTGTACTGTGTCCGCAGTCTCTGGTCATCCCCTGTACAGTGTCTGCAGTCCATTGGTTCAGAATATTTTTTTTCTTGTTTTTCTCCTCTAAAACCTAGGTGCGTCTTATGGTCAGGTGTGTCTTATGGAGCGAAAAATACGGTAATTGAAGAGCTCTTCTGATCCTTAGAATTAGACTCAGCAATTAGCCACTGAGAGTCAAAAGTGAGTTAGTCTCTTTGGAAGTTTTTTTGTCTTACTGGGGAAGAAACATCTCATAACTGGGACTATTGTTTAAATTCTGAATTGCAAGACCTCTAGAACTGATTAAGATTGTGCTGTGTTGTGACCCTTATTTGAAGTTCCTAGAGTGACAGCTGTTATCTTATGCACCTATTTTCCTGTTGCTTTACTGTGCTTACATTTGATCTCTAAACAAGCGAAATATCAGTTCACTCTAAACTGTGTATAAGTCTATTTTATGGTTGCAGCCAGAGGATTCTTCTGGCCAGGTGGAGTCAGCAGGGTTGGGCTTCCAGAATGAGGTGAAGAAAGACAGGGAAACTGAAAATTACTCCGTGGCCCCTGAGGGGGTAGTGCTACAGAATAAAACACCTTCACTTTACCAACAGCCCTAATAAAGGCCAGATTTAGCAATCCAGGTGAAATAGGCCTTATTATCTTATGTTTTTCAGTAAGCTTACATATTGTTTTATATGTTAGAATAGAAAATCCTAAAAGTACTGTATGTACTAAAAAAACAAATGACAGTCAGCATAGAGAATTACAGATATGTTGTTAGTGTTTGATGCATTAACAGTCATATTTCTAGAAGGGGATACTCACTTATTCTCATCATACTGGCTACTTGCCCCAGTTTTTGAAAGACCTTGAGCACCGTCTTCAAAACTGTAGTCTGTTTGGTAGAAATCACACTCAAACTGCTCCATGGATGTCTCTTGTTTGGTTTCTCTCTGAAATAATAAACATCTATGATGGAAACAGTGTAAAGTAATGTATAGTGATTGTAAAGGCACACTTTTTATTATTAAAAATAACATACCTTCTTATACTTACCTGCTCTATGCAATGGTTTTGCACACAGCAGCCCTGATCCTCCTCTTCTCAGGTCCTCCACTGGAGCTCCTGGCTCCTCCCCTCTGCTGAGTGCCTTCTCAGGAAGCAGTTTGCCATGGGGGTACTCATGTAGGCTAGCTCCCGAGCCAGCTCTGTGTGTCCATAGACATGCAGAGCATGGCTCGGCCTCATCCCTGCCTCCTCCTCACTGGCTGTGATTGACAGCAGCAGGAAGCAATGGCTCTCGCTGCTGTCTCTGAGCCAATGAGGAGAGAGAGAGAGCAGAGAGAGATTCTGTTCAAGTGCACAGCGGTGGATCAAGATTGGGTTTTTATATTTTTAACTGGTAATTTGGCCAGTAACTTCCTGACTTAAGGTGTCTCCATTCCACTGGAGACGCAACAGAGACACTTTTGAACAGCAGCATTGTCAATTAGGGAAAGGGTAGTGTTAGCCGATTATCATCAGATTTAGGTAAACGCGGCTAACAAATCAAAGCCGAACCACCACCAACACTTTATAAGCGGTTAGAGCAACAGTTGTTTTTCCATTTGTGATTAGGGTTTGCACAACTTAGTCTGTTAAAGGAAGTTGAAAAATAACAGACCTACTGGCCAGATTACCAGGTGAAAATCAAGGGAAATATTTAAAAAAAAAAACTGAAAACAAATGCAGCCACCACATCTAAGAATTGGTGAGCTGCAATATACTGCAATTTTGTTTTTGGTTTAATACCACTTTAACTTTCAATATGCTTTCTTCATACAATATTTGCATTTTCAGCTCTTCATTTAATGACCAGTGTTAGTCAGTTGTGTTTTAATGTTAAAATGATAAATTATTGACCGTATACAGTGAAGGAAATACGGTAAGTATGCAGTATTGAGCATCATCTAGCAGATTAATTGTTACAATTTGCATTACAAAGGTCTCATTTTACATGCAATAGCATGAACTGGAATCGCAGAGTGCTTATACATCTACATATACAGGATATGATATCATATCATACAGTACGACGGATGAAGGATATCAGTTCACTGAGAAGGAGCAGCTGCAGTTGCTGTGTGAGGCTCAGACTGACTTACTCAGAGGCTCTGTCAACAGAATGAATAATATGTTTTAAATGATAATATAGCCTAGGCACATTTTCACTGCTTTACCAGGCTAACTTAACCTGTATTGCTAAAGAAGGCTTCATGGTTACAGAACCGAATAGTTGAAGGTCAAATTAAACACACAGCTGGATGAATCAAAGTAGTAACTCATCCCCCAATGCTATACAGACTTTCAATTTGAGCAGACAATCTGAAAGCAATTAGCTATGTACTGTACTGCTGTTCTCTTTTATTAACCTCCCTAGCGGTATGATTACATTAGTATTTCTGTGCTCAAAGCGTAAATTTTTTTGCATGGAAATATGTCGTTTTTTTATTGTAGGCCTGTAATTCTTAGGAATAACTCACTGAAATTTGTCCGAACAAGGGTCTAGTAAACATTCCGGATATGATAAAATTTGAAACACAAAATCATAAATTATAATTTAAGAAATAACCATAAAAAATATTAATACAATAGTTATAAATTTAATTCAATAATGTAATCAAACCAAAAACACTGAAATTTGAAATATAGCGCCAAGTTCGCACATCACTGAGCAAAGTCGCAAAATCGTTTTCAGTGTCTGATGACGAATTTCCCCCAAGAATCATTATCACTCAATTCTGCAAGTGGTTCTGATTTACTATCGCTGTTCTTTAGCTGGTCTAAAACCGCTTTTGACCTAAAGGGACGCTTTTTGGACGCCATGGACATTTCTCAGTTTCCAGGCAGAAAGAACGGTAAATATGCAGGCAGGGCACAGGACAATGCACTAGGGACAAAATGTATGTGAAATGGTTTGATACAGTAACGTTTTACTATGTGATTTTAGTGTATTAGTGAATGTCACTTTTTAAAATTTTTAAATGTCCCGCCGGTTACGTCCCCGTACGTCCTGACGTCGCAGGGAACTGAACCCGGAAGACAGATGCCAGCATCGGCCGGAGGAGATGTCTGGGGACGCTGCAGGGGGGACATCGCGGGAGCGAAGGACAAGGTAAGTGATCGAGGGTTTCCGGAACAATGCTGCATGGTAATCCCGAGTGTTACCGCTTGCGGTACTGAAACTTTACCCCGAGCTACACTCGGGAATACCTCCAGGGAGGTTAAGTGCTGGTCATACCTGTGCAATTTGTGAATTGAAATCTCACCTAATGAATGTGAATGAATGTGAATGTCAGTCTTAACGTGCAATTTGCTGTAGAGCGATTTCTAAAGTAGTTTCTTGCATTACTTTTTCTGCAGTTTATTGTGATTATAAGAGAATATAATGGAAATCACAAAGCAAATTGCATAAAATCATTGAAAATCTTCACAAGTCACAATGAAGTCTTCAGAAATCACACAATTTTAAATCACAGCAGTGTGTTTGGTGAGTAAAGCTCATCTCTGGGCAAAAAAAAAAAGTTTTCCAATGCAGAGGGAAAGCTTTATCCTCATCCCTAGACAAAAATGAACAGCTGACCTTTGTAATGTGGGCACAGCCCCACTGCATGGGAAAACTTTTTTTTTTGCCTGGAAATGGGCTTTAAAAATAAAAACCCATAATGCTTTGTGATACCAGTGTTTTGGATTCCACTTTCTTGTGCATTCAAATGTGCCCCCATATGCTGTACTTTATGTAACAGAACTGCTTTCTATGTAAATTACCTTCTTATGTTGTACCAATGAACCTATATCTGAATAAAAATGTTTAAATTAAAATGCGTACAGTTTATAAGAATGTAGAAGCTAACTTGCTAACTAAATATGCCTATCTTTTGCTTAAAGCAGTACAGTAAAAACACCCGAGTACCTATCATATTAAATAAAAAATGTAGCAGTCACCAACCATAGCACACTGATGCAATATTTATAGCACAGGTACCATAGCATACGCAAGTAACTAGCTCTGTCATGCATCATGCAACACAACGAAGACTTGCAAAAGAGCTGTCAGGCAGAATATTTTCAACTTTGATCACTCAGTTCACCAGAATAGCTGGATTGTGAAAAGACTGGGACTTAAAAACGTACAGTAGGGTAGTCGTATTCGGAGTTAGGGAAGATTGGGCTTTATTTAGGTGCGTGGCAGATGATTTACTAGGAAAGACAATGACAATTAGGTACAGCATTGCATACCTAAAGCAAATATGTGCTTTGTTCTTACAGGCAAAGGAACTGGTTTTATTTAAACTCTTCTTCTCCAACAACACATACTCACATTTTCTTCACTTTTCTGCCACTCTGTTCAAAAACCAAGAGTATTATATCTATTACTCCAGGGGATGGAGGAGTATAGCAGTTACTCCTATACTGTCATGTGACAGCATTGGTAATCAGTGATTGGTGATCAGTGATTGGCTATACATTGCAGCACTGTCACATGGGACAGTCAACCCTATGCTTTGACCAGAGATCTGACAACAGCACACACAGTGCTTATATCTTTTATATCCTTTATTCCAAGTGACTGAGTGGACCAGCAGAGGAGTGAAAAGAGGTAAGTACTGTATGTGCTTCTAGGAGAACAGGTTCTAAAGCAAACTTGTTGCTTTGCCCTGCATGGGCAACCTACAGATTCAATTTTAAACCTCATTGATCTACAAGGCTTATTCAATAAATCCATCATTTCCTTATGTACAGATATGGTCTAACAAGCTTGAAACAGCTATATGCAAACTAGATAAAGTACTATATTTTCAAAGAATTTCAGGTATTTTAAAAATTCACAGCCACTTTATAAGGTGTACCTTGCTAGTATTGGGTTGGACTCCTTTTGCCTTCAGAACTTCAATAATTCTTCATGGCATAGATTGAATGAGGTATTGGAAATATTCCTCAGAGATTTTGGTCCATATTGATGTGAGTTACTGTTGCCTTTCTATCATCTCGAACCAGTCTGCCCATTCTCCTGTGACATCAACAAGGCATTTTCATGCACACAACTGCCGCTCTCTGGATATTTTCTCTTTTTCAGGCCATTCTCTGTAAACACTAGAGATGGTTGTGCATGAAAATCCCAGTAGATCATCAGTTTTTGAAATACTTAGACCAGCCCATCTGGCACCAACAACCATGTCACGTTCAAAGTCACTTAAAGCCCCTTTCTTCCTCATTCTGATGCTTGGTTTGAACTTCAGCAAGACATCATCACCACTTCTAGATGCCTAAATGCAGTGCGTTGTTGCCATGTGATTGGCTGATTAGCAATTTGCTTTACCAAGCAATTGAACAGGTGTACCTAATAAAGTGGCTGGTGAATGTATATAGTAACATTGGTCCAGCGTGAACCAAAGTAACTATGCATATACCATCTTCTGAAGGATAAGGGTGATGATCCCTGTGGACTTCTGTGGCAGGAATACTTCAGTGAAACCATCAGCCGCTCTTCTCCTTTACCTCTGCCCACATCATTAGTTTTTTGACTGTTGAGTGTTTAGCAGAGCAATATGAATACAGTACATCAAATGATACTTCCTCAAGCTACGGAAAACAATTCCTCCTTCTTGGCTGCATTTTTACTATAGAATGCATGGTAGCAGTATCATGTGACCTGAGACAACTTTTTGGCACTTTCACTTTTTTGTTAATAAAAGTATAGTAAATTCATGTACTGGAGGGTTTATTTTGCAAGCTATAACTTTATTCAGTCTTGACTTCCACTAAGCCTATTCTGAAACAATCACCCAGTGACCTTTCTCACATCCTGTAGAATATTCCCATCACACATTCCTGGAGCAACTTGAAGTAAGTGGATGTTGTGGCAACTACCAGCTGGGAAGTCAAAGCA